CGGATTCTCCCAAATTCATCTTGGGCGATTTCAACCATTGCTCTCCTGAAAAAGCACTAAAAGGCTACCAGCAGTATACATTACATGCAGCACCCGTCTGGGGAAGACACTGGATAAATGCTATGGTTCAGTTCCTAACGCATACAGATCTGTTGCTCTCCCCCCTCTTGGCTCTGCTGACCACCATGTCGCCCTGCTTGCTCCAGCATGTACTCCTGTAATAAAGAGGGTTAAGAAAGTTGTTAAGAACATCAAGCAGTGGACCAACGAAAGCATTCTTACACTACAAGGATGCTTTGAATCCACTGACTGGGATAACCTCTTAGCCCACTCCAACAACATTAATGAGCATGTGGACACTGTTTCATCGTACATCTCCTTCTGTGTGGACAACATCATCCCCTCCAAAACAGTCACAATCTACCCCAACAATAAACCTTGGATCACCAAAGAGCTCAAGGAGGTCCTCAACAAGAAGAAAAGGGTCTTCTTCACCAGCTCTGAAATGGAGAAAAAGGAGGTAAATGGAGAAGTCAAGCACGCCATAAAAACTGCCAAACTCAAGTACAAGAACAAAGTGGAGGAAAGATTCACACAGGGGAACCTCCGCACAGCTTGGCAGGGCCTCAAAAACATGGCTGCTGTGAACACTGCTGCTACCAACATCAAAACCATCGAGGTTGCAGGCAGCAGCTCTACTTCTCTCCCCAACGATCTCAACTCATTCTACACCAGATTCGAGAAGGACAACACCACACAGCAGGAAGGAACAGTGTCCATGCTCAAGCCCAGTGACTCTGCACTCACCTTCAGCAGAGAGGATGTGGTGAGAGCCCTCAGGAGGACAAGGGAGAGCAGCTCACCTGGTCCAGACAACATCAGTGGGCGCATCCTGAAGCACTGTGCCGAGCAGCTAGGGGGCGTGTTTCAGACCCTGTTCCAGAGCTCTATGGACAGCAGCACAGTCCCCCAGCTGTGGAAACACTCCACAGTTATCCCCATCCCCAAGAAAAGCCCCGCCAAATCACTGAATGACCTCAGGCCTGTGGCCCTCATGTCTCTGGTGATGAAGGCCATGGAGAGGATCATAAAACAACACATCATCAGAGAAACCGACTCCCAGATGGACCCGCTACAATTTGCTTATCGTGCAGGCAGAGGTGTCGATGATGCAAAAACATTCATAATAGACACTGTTCACAAACACCTGGAGCACCCCAACACCTCAGCCAGACTCCTGTTTGCAGACTTCTCCTCTGCATTCAACACCCTGCAGCCTCACATCCTGGCTGACAAACTTTCAACTTGCTTCCATCTGAACGACCAGCTTCTCCTGTGGATATTGGACTTTCTGACCAACAGATCACAGAGAGTTCTGGTCAACAACACCTTCTCCAACCTCCAACACACCTCAACTGGCTCCCCTCAGGGCTGCGTGCTCTCACCTCTGCTCTTCATCCTCTACACCGATGACTGCAGAACCACACAGCCAAACTGTCACCTGGTGAAGTACGCGGACGACACAGTTCTCCTGTCTCTGCTGTCAGGCCCCTCTCAGCACCATGGACCAGTTCTTCAGGAGTTTGTGGAGTGGTGTGACAGCTCCTGCCTCGAACTGAACGTGAGCAAGACCAAAGACATGGTGGTGACCTTCTCCAACAAGCAGAGGGAACTGGCTGCATCAGCAATCACCACAATCCATGGGAATCCTGTCGAACTAGTAGAGGAGTATAAGTACCTGGGTACCATCTTCGACAGCCTGCTGAAATTCGCCTCCAACACCGAGGAGATTCTCAGGAAATGTCAGCAGCGAAAATACCTCCTAAGGAAGCTCAATTCCTTTGGAGTCAGTAAGAACATTCTTCTGACCTTCTACTACTCCTTCATTGAGAGCATTATTACTTTTTCTACAACCTGCTGGTTCCACTCCACCACCCTCCAGAACAGAAACCGCCTGCAGAGCACGGTCACAGTCTGCTCTAAGATCATTGGACTACCTGTAAGGACTTTGACATCGATCTATGAGCAACAGACAATCAGGCTAGCAGGTGGGATCATGCAGGACCCCTCACACGCTCTCTTCCCAGCGTTTGAGTGGCTCCCCTCAGGACGCCGGCTTCGCTGTCCCTGCTGCAGGACACAGAGGAGAAGAGCAACCTTTGTTCCCAGGGCTGTCCAGCTCCTCAACTCTTAACCCCCCCCCCAACAGACACCAACACCTCTCACCCAATGCAGACTCTCAGCTGTGAACTTCCTTTATATTGACATACACCTTAACTGCCTCTGCTTTATCTGGTCTCATGCACTACATCACTTTATTCTATCCATTTTATATCAGTATTCATACAGTTCTGGTTAATTTATTCCTGTTGTTCTTATCCATCATTGCACTACGGTCACTTTATTTATCTAATTCTTACCTTTACAGTTATATTGTATATATTAGTTCTGTTGTTCCATTATTCACCATGAACCTTAATAACTTATCATTTAGTATTTGCCTACTTGCACATAGCTCTGTATATATATATATATATATATATATATATTTATTTCTCGTTTACTGCATATAGTTCTGTTTCCATCTGGTCACTACTGCACATAGTTCTGGTTACATCTGTTAGTCCGATCACTGTCCACTTATATCTACTCTTTTATATTTTTTATTTTTAAGTTAAGTTTAAGCTTTAAGTTGTATTTAAATTGACGCTTTCTATTTAGGTTAAAATGTTTTGTTTACTTGCACTATTGTTAATTTACTGCTCTGTGTGCTTTTGAATTGCCCCCCGGGGACAAATAAAGTTTTTTGAATTGAGAACCACACAATTTGAAAGATCCCCATAGGCCTTTTGAATTTACAAAAAGACCTTGGATAGTCTTTCTTTTAACAGTCAGTCCTCTGACCAGAAAATGACCCTGACTAGTAGACACCAAGAACATATGCATTCAATGTTTTTAATGGTTTAACTTTTGAAATTAATATTTGTTCATTCTTTTTTATTATTGACTTGACATAAGCACACCGCATACTGTATTTTTTTTATTTCTTCCCTAAAATCAAGTCTGATTCCAGCCCTCTGCTATGATCTTGATTATTCTGATTTTTGTTTGGATCAAAGTAATCCTGATCCTACTCAGAAGTTTTAACCAACACAAACCAGAGGTTTGATTTGGATAGCAACCAGGATTAGGATTTATCCAATTATGTGATCCTGTTTTCACTGTGAACAACCAAATTTCAAGATTTGATCCTATCAGATAGGATTAATCCTGTTGGATGACTTTTGAACAACTGGGCCCATCAGATTAGAGACGTAGATGAGGAACGGAGAAAACTTCATGAGCACTCAGTTGACATTAAACTTTATTGCTTTTGTAATGGAAAGAGGTGGATATAGCCTTAAGCATTATATACATCCCTGGACTTCTTTAACTCAGCTTTCCCATGTCTCAACATCCATAACCATCATACTATACTTTCTGCAAACAAACATCCTCTGACACACACACAAGCCCAACACACACACATGACACTTAAGGGGTTTTAGGGGCAAGTTATGTAACAAATAAAAAATGTACCTATCAGGCGTGGGTATGGTAAAGACTGTCATCAGGTGCCTGTTGAGCATTTTGACCAACACTGAAGGTCAACATGTTAGCTGTCCATGACGATTTATATTTCAGGGTTAAAAAGATTTAAATTTATTTCAGAACTATGCATAGCACTTTGAAGACAGATTGTTGAACGTTATTTGTTACTCAGTGATTAGAAGTGGAGCATGAGGGAGCAACACATTGGGTGCAAGTATGTGTGTGTTAGAGTTTGCATGTTTATTGGTGTGTTGTGTGCATGTTTGTGAAGGCAAGGAAGATTTCAACAAAGCTAGTCAGAGAGGCACACGGTTTATTTCTGTTTCTCTCTGCAGCAGGCAGCAGGTGCAACTCATGTCCCCATTACATTTGTACATTAATGGCATCAAAGAGTCATTTGTGACAGTTGAGCAGTTGTTTCCATTCAACTCGCCATGCTCCACTTCCTCTCCAAATGGCTCACACTCTCAAATTCTCTCTTGTACCTCAGATTAATGAAGCCATCTGTCTTCTGTTTTGGGGTTCTGAGGCAGCACTTGGCCGTTTGCTGCATACTCCATATTATCAAAACATTTACACACAGACCGTCAATCGTATGTTTTAATGTACATATAAATGCATGCATCCTCACAGTGTTATCACTACCACACCATGGCTTGGCAGTAATACACACACAACACACTTATAGACAGAGAAACATTAAGACAACATTAAGATCAAATTTCAAATAAAAACCCATGCAGATTTGATCAGTATCTTTACCTGTAAAATCGGTTGATATTACTTGTTCATTAATTGCTTGTTGCAGGGAAAATGCATAATACAATAACCCCACCATATAGGCTATAGGGCCTAAGGCTAATTTGCATCTGTTGTAGCTACTTGGGCTAGGCCACCAGAAATGTGCAGGTTATACAATAATAGATTATTGTAATAATCAAAACCTTTCACCTTGAATCAAACAGAACAAAATATACAAAAACATGCAAAAAATAAAGGACAAAATACCAACAAGACACAAAGAACAGCAGACAAAACGTCATTCCCTCAAGAGAGCACAATAAAAATACTATCAACTCCTTTTTTGAATGAGACACATGTGTTAACCCTAAAATATGAGCTTTCAGACTATTGAAGTGCGGGTAAAAACTTTTCCCTTAAATGTAGCCTTGTAGACGTTGAAGAGGCATACAAAGAAGAAACATGCACTGGGTAAATGCACTTGGTTAGATTTCACGACTGGACAACAATGTTAGTATCTGGAGCCCTGCAGCTCACCGTCGACCACTACAGAAAACAAGATGCGGTCTCTAGCCCCGCCCTCCTCTGGCTCGAGCACTGCGCTCATTGGTCGGCGCGACAATATAAAACACCGCAGTGATTTCCCCCCTCACTGATGATCGCTGCTCTGCCTCTCTCATCACTCACAGACCGACTGAGCAAGCACCCGGCTGGAAACTGAGAGGAAATACAAAACTTTACCGACTCAATTCGCCGCTTCTGATAGGTTCGTTTTGTTTAATTCAACATCATGAAGGAAAGGAGACTCACGCAGCCGTTTGTCGCCAGGTGTAAACTGGTGCTGGTCGGGGACGTCCAATGCGGTAAAACAGCGATGTTACAAGTCCTGGCCAAAGACTGCTATCCAGAGGTACGACGAGTACTTCATAATGTCCTATACGTCCTATTTCTGCTGCCTCTGAAAATTGTCGAGAGTTAAATCATAGCACTTGTTTATGAGAGTAATTCACCTGCACAAGGAAGAATAAATCACATTATGTTATAACTCCACAGAACTAAATCTATTATAATTGTATTTTTCTTGTAACTCTTATTGTAGGCCATTTCTAAAGCTCCCATGGTGCCTTATTCGTTTTATTGTGTTACCACCAAAGTCTTTTTTTTTTTTTTTTACTACAGGCTATGTGTTCAGTGTATTAACTTCCACATTCTGTTACACTAACACAAGTGTACAATCATTATAATATGTGTGAGTATTCTGTTGCCATAGCCTATCTATGATGTGATTCCTTGGTTTGTGTAGTCTATTGATTTGGCCTATGCTCGTCATTTAAATATCCCACTAATCGTTTAGTAACATTGATCATTTTTCTGTTGATTCAACAACTTGCGTTGGTAACTTCTGATGTAGGCCTACATTTGCTCTCGTTGTTCACGTACTACATGTGTTTTTTTAAATTTCATATTAAATGAAGTCAGTCCTGTCTCTAATATCTTGCCTTTATTATCCATTTACAGACTTATGTTCCTACTGTGTTTGAGAACTACACAGCCTGTTTGGAGCTTGAAGATCAGCGTGTTGAGCTCAGCCTTTGGGACACATCAGGTAAGAATTGTGTATATATAAATATTTTTACCTTGCCCACAGTTTAATAAAACTGTCTGTTTGTTTGGTGAAAAGAAGGCTGTGAACTACTCTTGTACTTCTATCTCGGACTTACAAATGATTAAAGATTCTCAGTCAATGTGTGTCAGAGAGAGAGTTAAGCAGTCAGTATCAGATCTGCATTCATGGGTTGATTTGTAGAACTTGTTTACCCTCCCCACGACACAGCCGGCCCGGAGTCGATTGACGGCTGTAAATGTAGCCCCTTCACATTGTTTTAGAAAAAAACAGCTATGTTGCTGTTTACTCAAACGTCTTTATCTGCCAATCTTGTTTTGATGCAGTTAAGCAGCTTTTCACTGCTGTGAAATCTGTTGAGAGATCTTCTTTGGGGGATTGTTGCAGGCAATGACAACCAGCCTGTCTGGATTACCCAGAAGACAACTGTGGCCCAAAATCATCCATGTAATATAATTTGTGTGAAACATTATTACTTGAAAATAGTATATTTGAGAAATGCAACAAATCTAACCTGGAGGTTAAATACTCAAGTGCTTGCTTGATCACAATTATTTCTCATTCTTCTGAAAAGGATCTTATTGAATAGTAATTTTATTAAAATTAGTTTAGTTTACTATTATTAAGTTAATAGTTTCCAGTGTTTCCCCTAGGTTTACATCTTTGGGGGGTGCAGGTAGACGGAATCTTGGTGTTCATGCGTTACTTTTAATGACAGCTGTTCTATCGTAAAAGGTGTCCTTAAATGACTTCTTTCCCCGATTTCCGACTCTATCCACTATCCTGTCTCTACAATAAAGGCACAAAAAGCCCAAAAATAAATCTAAAAAAATATATATATTTTTTATTAACTTGACCGGCCCCCTAATACAATGGTAGGGGAAACACTGGTTTCTTTTTCCTTAAAGGAGCCATATGTAAGATGAACTGAATTAAATCATAAAATGACCTCACTATATCATCCGACATTAAGGAAACATGCTATGTTGAAGTGCTGGTTTCTCAGACAATGCAGCAGCCAGTATGTTTTTCTAAGTCTGGATTTCAGATGTTTTGGACACCCCTCGATTTGCCAGACATGAGACCAGATATCATGGCAAACCAATAGGTGTTGCAGAGATGGAAGCGGGCAAGAGAACTGGTTCACATATAACTGATTCTAACTGACCTATAAAGCCACAACATTTTTCTAAAAATCTCCATGAACAGGAACGTGATAAACATTGGAGATGCTTTTAAAAAAAATGGAGAGCGGTTAGAACGCAGAAAGGTTTCAAGAAAGATGCAGAGCTGGCTAAACACTGAAGCTTCCATATCCGACATGTCAGCTCTATGGAGGAGGATTTGATAGTGGTTAAAAAACATTTAAGTCACAGCCATCTTTGTTGTTTATTAAAATGCCTCAATAACACAAGACCCCAGTTAATAAATCTGTTTGAGCTATTTCAGTAAATTGTGAAAAAGTTAGAGTTATAATTATGTAATAAAAGTCAACACATTCAAGAAAGCGAAAGGGGGGCCGCTGGTAGCCGAGTGGTTAGTGCTCGCCCGGGTTCGAATCCGACTTGTGGCGTGGAGTGGCTCCACTCCTTCTCTCGTCACTTTCTGACTCTATCCACTGTCCTCTCTCTAAAAGGCAAAAAAAAATAAAAAATCCAACCTATAAAAAAATAAATAAATAAATAAAAGCCTAGGGGTAAACAAATGTTTCATTCAACCAGGTACACACACAATTCACTATGATCAAAGTAAGGCCTCTTTCCTGTGGAAGAAGTCAAGTTATTGCAGATCACTAAAGAGAATCATATATTAAGTCAAATAGAGGAAAAACATGAAAAAACACTTTCATTTCAAAGTTTTAATGGTGGATTAATCTAGGAAGCTGACTGACAGAAAGATATTAAGGGAAACATTTTGACAATCCAAGAATCATTTTTTTCTTTTTCTCAGAAGGTTGAGAAATGCCTCAAATCCAAACAGTTGAAGAGCTAGAATCAGAAAATAGACAGTTAAAGTTATTGATTAGAGATAACAATACTCCTCAGATTAATTAAAATTACTGTTACATGGTATAATGATGACACCCGTCTACTTCGGTTTGGATCCTAAATGTTTCGGAGCACTTCAGGTGCAGTTATGAAAAATGTTTTGTGTGTGGTGTTTTTTTTAGGTTAAATACCTAATAGTGACACAGTGACCTCAAATCTATCCAAATGTTACTTAATTAGGATCAGTAAGAAAGCAGTGTGCTCTGTTATAGATTTATTTCGTAACAGCACTGGTTGAGGCATTGTGTTCAGAGGAAGTCGCGCAGTGCCAGTTGGCCTGCGGAGGGGTTGTTTCAGGGGGGAGAGGGGGAAGCCTCGTCCATGCAGGGGGTGGAAGTCTCCGAGAGTGTGGGCAAGCGTGTGTGTATGTGTTGTTGTTCGTGTGTGTGTGTGTGTGTGTGTGTGTGTGTGTACGTGTTTGGCTGTACAGTCTGAGAGAACAGAAGGCACAAGTGAGGGGTACTGTGAGAAAAGATATGCACGACCTCCTCACTGCCTTGCTTGCTGCCTAAAAAAAAAAAGGTCTTATGTAACTGTGTGTTTATCTCCCACGGAGTAAAAACTTTCTGGACAGTCACCCTTTCCCAAGGAAACATTGCATAAGACCTATTTACATTTGCAACACAAACATACTTTTCCCATCCCTCTTTATGTTTCTTTTCATCGTCTGTTTGTGTTTTCTTCATTCAAATATGGCGGCTGCAGCTGAGGGTTGCTTTTTTTAGTATTAGTATGAGTATTTGTCTGATAAACGGGTTGATTACTGTTCTTTAAACACATTCCTTTTTCCTTTTCCCATCTTTCTTTGAGATTAAAGAGGGCAGTTTAAGGCATGTAACTAATATTTGCTAAACTGAAAAGGATTTTGTGCGTATTTGTGTATCCAGGCAGGGGGCTGCTAATGTGTGGGAGGCGGTGGGTGCCAGAAGTTGTCCTCTTTAGATCTCTCTGCCTCCTCTTTCTCAAGCCTTACATCACCCTGGATAGTTATGTGATGGCCGCTTTGATTCCAACCAAAATAAAATGTTATTGATGGATTCAGTTGTGTAAGTAGCCTGGCCCTACTTTTGAGATTCAAGTCAGAGATTCAGACACGCCGAGAAAAGCAGAAGGGCCTCAGAATTCAGTGCTGCTAGGTGGTATAGTTTTTATTTTATTTACATCCCAGGAGAATGCCAATTCAATCAACACAACATTACTGTTAGTTCCAGTAGAAGTTTATTGGAAGTATCTATTCCTGATATAATTATTATACCCTCTTTTTGCAAGGAAATCCTCTGATGCAGATTTGGCCCCTGAGGACAGGAGTATAGGAAATTAAATCTTGGTGTTGCTGTGTGGGGAGTGATTTGGTGGCAGAGGTAAAACAATAGAGAGCGGACATCCTGTCAGTCTGTTTTTAGCTCAGGATCCTTCCTAGGAGTTATAAAAAAAAGCTTCTACAAAAAGCTGAGCTGTTAATGGAAATGTGAGAAACGGATGTTTTCTTCACACCATAATTCTCAATGTCCTACGGTGTTGCATTAATTAGACAGTAATCAGGGAGGACTGTTTGAGTGAGGTGGTGAGTAACATCTGTTATTATTTTGAAAACATTGGAAAGAAAGCGTTACCGCTGATCAGTAAAGTCATCGCCTTCAATGACTGGAATTAGCTTTGTCCTTCAGTAAGAATACACCTTCAGTTATGTAACGGATCTCTGAATGTCGCCAACAGTGACGTTAATGACACTGATTCACATGTATTTCAAAAGTGTAAATAAAAACGCTGTTCAATTAAGGAAGGGGGGGGCGGTCGTTTCTGTTTCCAAGAAATGAATATGCTGGACAAAAAAAAAATCTGCATTGTCTTGGCACATATCCCAAAACTATTGCAGTTTTGGCTACCATTGGTCATAGCTTGGCTAGCTGTTTTTCTTCTTACAGGTGAAATGCAGTGGTGAAATGTTTATAAAGTATGATATGGTATCTGTCTTTTTATGTATGTGCACAGATTATTTCTTAAAACAGACGAATCAGAAATTGAACATGGAGCAATACAGTCTCAATTTAGCTTAGTCTGCTACTGAACCTCCAAGCCAAACAAAAACAATCATAGAGACACAAATTTAGGATGACTTTTTCTTTCTTACTCGGATTAAAGTTTGTTGAATCAAGTTCAGCTGTTGCCTAATAATGTTAATATTAATTAAGAGCTCAACTGCCTGTGATTCAGTGAGTTACTTTACTTTTCTGGAAAGACTCCTGTCAGTGGGAAGGTGTCAAAGCTTAGTGTAATTATTTGCTCTCTTATCGGTTTGGCAGGGCTGGATGTGACTGTTTGTGTTTGTACAGTGTGAAAGTGAGGAGGACGAGGGTGTAAAGACATTATCAAAGTGTCAGCGGGTTTTGGACTAAAGAAAGAGATTGCGGACGAGGTGAAAACTTTACGAAAGGTTTTCAAACATGTTGTTTTCAGCCAAGTGAACCACTTTCTGCCTGTTTACATAACAGTATACTGTTGTACCCGAGTTATATGACTTTGTTTTGTCCCTCTAGGCTCCCCATACTACGACAACGTGAGACCCCTCTGCTACAGTGACTCAGACGCCGTGCTTCTATGTTTTGACATCAGCCGTCCAGACACAGTAGAGAGTGCCCTGAAGAAGGTATGAATAACAGTAAACTTCAGTAACATTCTTCTCCTCAATCAGTCAGCTTACAACATCCTTATTTGTATGTGTTCTTAGTATTTTGCTGTCTGTTGCTGTTGCAGTGGAAAGCAGAGATCCAGGACTTCTGTCCCAGCACACGGATCCTATTAATAGGCTGCAAGACAGACCTGCGCACAGACGTATGCACACGCATGGAGCTGTCCAATCAGAAACAGACACCCATCTCCCACGAACAGGTTAGTTCCACTGTGACTTTTTCTTCCCCTCTGAGTCTGTTTAGATTTCTGTCACCTGTCTACCGTTGGTTCTCATAGAAATTCCCCATTCGTTCAGCTCATATTTCTACTTTACATGGGGTTTACAGGGGTCGTCCTTGGCGAAGCAGTGTGGAGCAGAGACATACCTGGAATGCTCCGCCTTCACATCAGAGAAGAGCATCCACAGCGTTTTCCGTACTGCGGCTCTGGCCTGCATGAACAAACTACAGCCTGCTGAGAAACCAAGCCCCGTCCGCCGCCTTTCCAAGAGACTCCTACACCTGCCAAGCAAGACAGAGCTCCTCTCCTCCACGTTCAGCAAAGACAGGTCCAAGAGCTGCTCCATCATGTGAATACTGCTGAGATCCAGCTGCAAGTTTAAAAAAAAAAAAAAAAAAAGCAAAAAAAAAAAAAAAAAAGGCAAGGGCAAGCAGGTTGCAGATGGTTCAACTGAGTGTGTAAAGTAAAGAGAGTCTCAAATCTCTTTCTCTTCTTTGCAACACCCAACTCTCCATGAACCATTTTCTACACAATAACCAACTCTGACACTGAACTTTCCGTCATGATTTATCACCAGCACACAGTGCAGAGACTGACTGAACAAAATCTAATGTTGAAATATGTGCAATCAGTTAAATACACCTCTACATGAGGGGCATACCTTGCACTTTAATGTATTGCTTCCTCTCTTAAAGGTGGCTGTGAGTGAAGTAAGGTCAGTGCCTCGTCTATTCTGCAAAGGAAAGTGGTTGTAAACACTGCATCTGACCACATTACCCTGATGAGACCCATATGAAATTCTTATGGATCCGCCCTCTCCCATCCATCTCTTTAGCTGAATGTCTCCTTAAGGTCACGATGCGGGCTGAGCCATAAGATGTAAATCTGACAGTGACAGTATCCACAGAAATGCAGCTTGGTAGAATTCACAACAGTGACCCTTGAAAATCTTATCCCTCGCTGACCCCTCAATGTTTTCTCATCTGGAAATTAGAGCTGACAGTGAAGAAAAGGGAAGAGAGAGAAAGGAGGGATTTGGCAAGTGGGAGCAGTCATTTGCAAAGACAGTGGGAGGGTGAACAGAGGGCGCATCTGAAGCAGCACGATGTGACTCAGCACTTGCATGAGCCACCGAAAAGTAGTCTAGGGTGGACGTGTTGTGACAAAAATACACACAAAGGCCTGGCCCATTCAAGGACTGTCCTAGCATGTTTCCGACAGATCAGACACCCATCACCACGGCAGTGTCAACTTTCAGTGTTATAAACCCTGAACCATACGGCTTAATAATGTGAAAGGAAAGATGAATCCAGTCACTGTCTCTGCTAAAATGATCAGCTTTGAAGAGTAAAAAAAAACTGTTTTCTTTTTACAAAATTTGAACTAGAATTATTATTTTTTTAAATGTTCCTAATAAAGTGTTAACATCTTTGTTTTTAATTCCTTTTCCTCATGATTGTATGAAGGAAAATAGTCCTCAGTTTTGAGCTGTAAATGTGTCACCACACTTCAACTGTTTTTGAATTTGTCAACAGTTATTCAAATTTCAACTGTTGCCATTTCCAGGATTGCCGCATAAACACTCATTTTAACTTGAAAGGTGAAAGTAGAGTTGAATCACAAACAGGCTGGTCCTGTCTGGAGAGAGTTTTTTTTTTCCTTTCTCTTTTTATGCATTGAAAATATCTTGGTCTATTTTTTTGCAATTTCTCTAAAAGTTTCGAGTCAACGTTTTGTCCAGTATTAAATGGTTTGTTGTTTTCTTTTCTTGATGTTTTTACTTGCTTGTTGGTGTTTTTTTTTAGTAGCCGTTGTTCAAGCATTCACTTGAGTCTTCTGGCATTAGCAGCTGTTGACAGCTCAGCTAATGGAGGACTTGATGATTAGTGGGTCTGCACCAAGGAGCCCTGAATCCTCTGGATGTACCAACACTGGAATTTAAGGTGTTGCCTAGCAACAGTGTGAGAAAGGGAGGGGGGGGGGGCAGGCCTGAAGTTCACACCTAATAGAGAGAGAGGGAGGGGCGGCTCTCCGAGAGGGCGCTTCACCTTTTATTTGTAGCATTAGAGGGAAGCCACTGCGAGGCTGACGGGCTGGACATCGCAGCGAGTAGCGACTGCTTGGGCTCTCTGGGTGACTTTTAAAGACCCCCCTGGTTGGAGCCACGAGTGGGTTGTTGAAAACAGCATGCAATCTAAAACATGCCTCTGTAGCTCAGCTTCAGTCATTATTTCTTACTTTTCATTCCTGTCTGGTGCATTGTGCTTAACAAGCTTACTTTGGTTCAATAAGCAGCTGTCAGTTCAGTTTCTTCTGCTTGGTTTTTGACAGTTTCTTTTTTTTTTGTACATATCTTTCCTCATAAAGCTGTTCAGTAGAAATAATGAAAGAGAATGTTACTGAAGCAAAAACACAATGCCTGTGTGAAGTTGCCTTTGATGGCTTAAATTATGGAGTGAATTCTGTATTTGTTAATGTCGACTTCTTTCTTTTAACCTTTATTTAAATAAATATGTCTGAAATTCATTATCAAGTCAGTGTTTGATTCCTTGTTAAATCCATCAAAACAAGACCTTTGATGGATGAATTGATTAAGAAGATATTCTCATTAGGGGGTTTATTAAACAAATGTAAGCCACATAGTAAAAACCATGTAAATATCAGCACGATGTATTAGGCACTTGCACAATTCTTGCACAAAATTGGGGAGGACAGCCGGGTCAATGTTGATGTAAATGAGCTTTATTTTGTTTACGTCTGTGTGGCTTTATTCATGACTAACAAACAGCACTCTTCATGCAGAGGATGGCCAGAAGCTGTATCAAATTAGAGCAAAAGATTATTTGGGAAATGTAATCAAATTCAAGGCTCCTTGAGAGAGAGAGACACTGATAACTTGGCAGCACATTGTCTATTTTGTCCTAAAAAAGAATGATAACAAACTAATATCCTAGCTCAAGGGCACAAAGGTTCATTTCACAAAATGATTGTACAGTGAATTTAAGTGAAAGGCTAACTGATTAAACTGTGAACTCCAGAGGGTTATTAACACATAATATATAGTTTATAACTTAGCGTTAAATGAGATACAGTAAGATTTTGTGTTAATGAAAATGAATGACCAGCCCATATAAGGCAGTGTGCGCACAATAATTAGATGATGACGGCAGCGACACAGTATGGTGTCAAAGCAAGCCTGTGGATGTTATACCACCCAAGCGTGAATTCAGCCTTAAGGAATAAACCCCCACTCCAAACTCGTACACAAACATACACATGTCCAGTGCCATATGCATACATCATGTTACACACATGATAAGTTTTGAAAACATGTCACATTCTGTTGACTTTTTTTTCCTAAGAAGAAGAGGAAGAACGATAAGACAATAATCAAATGTATTTGCTCACAGTACAGTCAGATGGTGCATTTTAATGCATTAAGTAGCCCTCTTTATATCTAATACACAGCACAATTTCTTAATGCTGTGTCCCCTTCATTAAACTTTTTGAAGCTTATCTGGGGAGTCTTTTTATGCATCTTGTTTTATTGTGGTTGTATTTGTGGGATTAATGTGTTTGTTTGCATTTGAAAGAGAAATCAAATCACATTTGACTTAAATTGGACATTTATATGACACATTAAATCCAGAATCCTTGTAGAGTTATTTACTGACTGTTGCTGCATTTTTACTGTAAATTTCCTGAGTAAGTCCTCTAAAATGTAGTTTACAGTACTCTTTGAAAGTGACTCTAAACCCCTAAACAATATTATTTAACCACATTTCTTTTTAAGTTCCATTAAGTGTTCACTACATTCCCCCTCTTAATTAGTCCATCTAGGATGTTAGCTTATCAGCATGCTAAAGGTAGTTTTATTACTAACTACTTCAGTTTCCTAACAGTATGCAGGAGTAACACATTGATCACAAATCCTAAGATTGGATACTCTTAAGCAGTAGAGTAATACATTTTTTCTTTCTGCAAGTCCCTCTATCCCACTTTCCAAGCCCAGCACAGTTTCTGCAGATAGCTGATCAGCATGAGTCTGGTTCTGCTCGAGGTTTCTGCCTCCTAAAAGCAGTTTCTCCTTACCACTGTAACTTTGCTAAATGTTGCTTCGCTCATGATGGATTAATGTTGGGTCGCTGTTAATAATATATCAAGGAGTACTGTCTTTAACCCGAATCTTTTGTAATATAACAAAGAGTAAGATATTTTACCCCACTCTTTTGTGAAGTGTCTTCAGATAACGTGTTGTGAATTGGCGCTATACAAATAAAGATTGATTGATTGATTGATTGAAATGATGTAATCCATATGTTGCACACATAAGTAATATAAATCTTGTGTACTGTATAAAGTTAAGTGATCACGTGGCTAAGGCTTCAGATTAGCATAAATGGTGTCTTTACAGAATTCATGCCATTTGTTTTCATTAGATTGAGGCTGCAAGGAGGTTGAGGAACATTCAAACTTAAGCATTTCCATCTCTCTCATATACTGCTGCCTGGGCAAATTCCTTTTCTTTTCCTTTCTTCTTACGTAACAAACCATCCTCCCTGACCTCCACTACCATGTTTGCTTAGTCTTTCACTGGACGGATATCTACGCTTATCAGGATCTCTCTATGTCCTGTTGTCACACTGAACCTGCTGGTGAGATGACATGGATGAAGTGACTGTATGTTTGCCATTTCTGAACTATCACATACAGGATACAGCAGCGCCTCATGACCTCCTTATCCGTTACCTTTTGCGCAGACAAGAAAAATTGTGGGACTAAACTCTTTATCACTAGTCCCAGATAGAATTAATCTCGCTTGATTTTCTACGGGGGGAAATGGAAGTGGTTTGATCTTTTTAGGATAAACAGAGCTGCCAGCCTGTCTGTCTACAACACTGCTTTCCCTTATCTTTTACCGTTTCTCCGTCTCCATGCCTGTCTCTTTGACACAGACACATACACTTATTTATCAGAAAATTGGCTCATGTACACAACATGTCTTTGTAAATCAGATAAACCTCTGACAAGCCATATTGAGCCTGTCATCCATGGCAGGTTGCTCCAAGGCATAATTGTACCGCATCCAGCGCTTAGTGGATGTGGAACTCAAGCAATGCAACTGTGCTCTGACAAAGAATGCACATTTTTAACAAGGCTTTCTATCTTTTAGAGCTGCTGACTTTGTTAAAAGGGGGAAAAGGCATTTATTGACTTTCTTAACAAGAGTTTGAAGAGAAGCTTTAAACCATGACTCATGTCTACATGTTAGATATAAAGTGACAGCCAGTGGCTGGTTAGCTTTGCATAAAGAAAATATCGTGACCACTTCTTCATTGGCTTCATTTTACAACACCAGAGGTTGCCCCTTGGTTTTTATGCAAAGCTAACCTTAACAGTTGTTGGTAATAATACTGTGTTGCATCAACCTCTGGTTAAGAAATCAAGTAAATGCATTTCAAAACTATCAAATATTTCCTTCAAGTTGCATTCCTGCATAATGACCTAAGCTATAATGGCTAGTATCGACCATTTGTACAACCCACACTGTAAAAATGTACTCTTCCTTTAAATCAAGTTCATTAAACTGAGATGTTTTCCCCATATTTACATTTAGCAGACTCAGAAACAGGGGGCTACTTCACTGTTTCCTGAAATTAGATAGATTTTTACATTTTATGGTTTAAAGATTAACCACAAAAGGAAACAAGGACACCAACTTGCTGGTAAAATTCCTTACCCATCTATGACAAATATCAGAAATCAGTCCAAGCTTGAAAATAGACTTGTACAAGCCCTCAACCATACATGCATGATACTGACATATTGATGTGAAGTAATGAACAGGTCAGCATTACTTGATCTGTACAGTCTAGACATTTTTTCCCTTCCTCATTGGAATGATTGGTGCCTGCAGCAGAGATGGTGGTGAGGCTGTTGAGGATCATGATGCAGAGGGGGGGGGGTGATCTAGGGAAGAGCACCGCCATCTGAAACCCTCTTGGGAAGTCTGAGAAAATGGTTGTGGTGCTGCATGGCCTATTACCACATAAGCACATCATCTATCAGACATGGCAGCACAGAAACCCATAAAAAAAACACACACATGATGCAGTCTCACACATCCGCGCAATGAACCTATCAGACCTCTCCAGCACCGCAGCAGCAGAGAGTGAAGCAAAGAAGAAGGGGGGTTTGCAGAGCTATGCTGCCTGGTTACTGATGAGCTATCTGCAGACTGACATATAGGTTACACTCCCCTTAAATGCCTGCACACGCCAAACAGACAGACAAACACACGCCGGGCTTTGCCTCAGCTGCTCAAAAAGGGTCATAACTCCTGTCTCTGGAAGGAAAATTGGGTTATATGTCATAGGCTCAGCTGGGTGAGGAGCGACATTCTCCAGTGCCCCATATGACCATCTGCCTCTCGTTGGTTCAATCCAGCAGACCATGGCCATTAAAATAGTTTTCCCACATATTTTTTTCTTCTGTAATTGCAACCCACTGTATGTCTTTAAAATCCATGGTTTTGTTTGACATTTTACTAAATTCTTGGATTTACTTTCCGGCCCATAGATACTTAATACGTTTGACACCGTTGTCTATTGAGGGTCAAAGTCAAAATCCTAAAGATCTCAGATTTGTTCTTATTGATGGTTTTTATGCAGCAAGGGAAACTGCAAGTGTATTTTGGATCTCGGCAATTTACCATAATCAAACAGCTGCCATTTTTAACTGGTGTATTGTTCAGGTTGGGAAGCTCAGATGCTGTAATGAAAAGGATGATATGTTTCAGATGCCAATGGTAAAACATGACAGATGGTTATCAAATCCCTGCCGTTTTTATTGATATGTAGCTGAAAAGACAATTAATAGTGAAAATCTGGAGGGGTGGTAGAACAATATGTGAAAACCCATTAGCTAGTGTGCTAGCTAACAGTAATGTTAAACACAACACAATGGTGAACACCCCTAGCTAACGTTAATATACGCTTGTAGGCTTTTGGTACAACACATCTGTAAGATTTCATAAACCATTGTCTTTTAGTAAATGGGTAATTGAGTAGTGGTGAAATGAAGGTGAAATACTTTTGAGATACCTCAAATGCCATTTATTGCCTTCATCATGGGGCCACAGTGTAATAGATGATATATGGTGGCTTGACAGATGTTTTTTATTTTTTATTTTTTTATTAAAATCTTTGACATTGTAATCTAATATCACGCTAGTAACTGGTTTGCTTACTTTTGCATATATGTAACACATGGGAAACACACAAAGTCTGCAGTATGTTTGGTACCGTGATAAAAGAGTTAGCTTTAGCGGAGCCAGGCTAGCTCTTTCCTAAGCTAAGCTAAAATAACCGGCTGGCTGTAGTCCTTTTTACTGTATTAACAGATACAAGTGGGGTATTGATCTTCTTCTCTACACCCTAATTATCTGTCACTCTATATTCCTGTTGAATATTTCTCCAAAAAGCTGATTCATCGCTGTCATCTTCTCATACACCTTGAACTGCCTA